TTACCCTTCTTTTTTTCTTTGCAGCTGCGGTAGCAATGAGTCTAGAAGATGGGGTGCAAGCTGGAGATGCTCCAGGTGGATCTTCCTTTTGACTTTCCTCTGCCTGACTCTCTGGGTCCAGAGCCTCATACCTGTTTTTTAAGGGTAACTGGGCAGGTGATGGGGGTTGGGAGGGGATTCTTTTACCTCTTCCATCAGGGACTTGCTTCCATTCCCCCCCTCTGCCTGATGGCAGGAGGGGCAGGGCTTCACTGTCTGCTGCTGAATTTCTTTTGGGCTCAAAAGGGTGCAACTCCACCAGTCTACTTCCTTTTCACTGTCCATAATGCTTCTTAACTTCTCTACTTCTTCCTTGAGTTCTGCCACCAAGCACAGCAAATCATTCACCTGCTCACACTGTACGCAGGCTTTTCTTACATTGTCCATTCCTACACTGCTGTTCCATTCAATGCTTTGCCAGGTCAACTGCAGTGATACAATGGCAGAAGTTTCAAAATGTGCTTTAGTACACATAAAAGTTCTTACAGGAAAGCCTTTAAGTTATAGGGAAATTAATTTTAACTATTTTTACTTTGAATTAAAGAGGTATTTTAGAGCTGTTTTTTAGAGTTCTTTATCATGTGGTGTAAGCGCAGTACTAAAAAAATGCCGAAAATATATTTCCAAGAAAGTGACTGGAAGTGACAGATAGACCAGAAAGACATTTAGTTCCACAAATTTACACCACACAAATTTATACTACGCAATTAAAAATCAGAATGAACGTCCTTTTCACTTCTTTGTCAGGCTACGTAAGACAGATTTTTTTTTTTAAAAAAATCCTACTAATACAATGAAAGGCATGTTGGATACCATTTGTGACATTGTGAAAAGCTATGCAATAGCTCAATGCTACTCAAAGGTGTTATAAACAATACATATTACCTTGCAAATTCTAAAACCAAATCAACAAATTTGATTCAGGGAACTTTGATCAGGGGTTCCTGCATCAAACCTGTTCAAATAATAGAATAAATAATAAATGCCATTTATATTAAAATTATATTTAATATTGACTTGAAGAGCTCAAGTGATGGAAAACCTTGTATGTTCTTTGGCAGTGCACTTTTAACTACAAGAATAGTGTATCGGTTTTATTCCACCAAGCTGTCCCAACAGACAAACACAGTGATCAGTAAGAGCATTCAATTTCTTGTCACTTATTTGTCCTGGTTCTTTCAAGATACAGCAAATTCTAACACCAGAAAGCAAATGTGCTCATGCATTTAGCTTGAATCTTTATAACCTTTCATTCTTTGGGTTTTTTTTTGATTGCTCTTTTTACAGTGTGTTCTCATACACACACACCCACACCCACACTCACACACACACACACCCCCCATAATTTTGCAACAAATCGGCACTTGAAGAGAAGAAACATATACAGATATTTTTCCAGCACTCACAAAAAGAGGTAATCTGTCTCTAAAGAGCTAAAATAATTGATAACCATCCACTTAACGGTTAGAAAAGACTATGTTAGATATGCCCCAAAAGAACTTAGTTAATTATTAATCTGTTTCTATTTACAGATATTTTCACTAAGAATTGCACTGAAGTTCGGTAAATCACAATTAGCATGTTTGTTTCTTCCCATGAGCTAAGATGCTTGTGCAAACTGGGAAATCCTGTCACCCCTTTACACTGTGCTACAAACCACACAATATCTGTGCAGATAGTAACAATACCCAAAGTCATTAAATTTTATTCAGGTTTCTGAACAGCCCTATGTGTTTCTTGTCAAGGTGCACCTTCTTACCCAAACAGCTTTTAAAAAACAAAACTGGTAACAATGACTCACATCCTCAAACTGAAGACAGGAAGGAAAATGTTGCACCCTAAATGCTACATTTAATGACATGAAAATACTGTGGATTTATATATGCATCTCTAAAATGATAAAAAAGGAAAGAGAAAACAGTTCTGTCTGCATAGCTGGGGAGGATCTACTCTTTTAGCTTTCTGATTGACATTTAAAACTATGTAATGAAATTTTTAATGAAGACTCTGAGTATATGGAAACATCAGAACATCAAGTTTTAGTATAACAAGACTGAGAATGAAGGAAGGGATAATGACAAGTTTCAATTGTAAAATTATGGTATTTTGGTTTAGAGTTTATTCTTGCAAAAAATGCAACTGGAAAGAAAATGCGATATATAAATATGAAGTTAAAGAATGCTGCTAAAAATAACATAAAACACTACAGATATTATAAGGCAACAAGCTGCTTTTAAGGCTAGAATTCATGTCTGCAGGGATATTGTACATTACAGTGTGTAAGATCAAAGTGAGAACGCAATAGGCATGTGGGTTTCGTGCTGAAACTACAATTCTTTCATATATACATGTACACACACAAAGCAAATAGAATCTAAACACGAGGTCTCTGTGTTTTATGTTATAGTCTCTTTTTCAAGTTTATTTTTCATATATGTATTACACTGACACAAGTGATTATTCAACCTATGCAAAGAAAGGTTTATGAAAAAGGTATGGCTTACAGTGCTGGCACTTGTCAAAAGAAGGTATAGCAGAAAAAAAGCAAATGGTCCCTACACTTAAACTGCAGATTCAACACCAGGAAAAATATGAAAGCAGTCTCATTTTCCAAAGAAACAGAAGGGCCACTGACACCAACTGAATGTAAGCCTGCTTGGTGCTCAGTAGCTTTGAAAAGATAGGTTGTTTAAATATAAATATGGGCAAGGAAGCCTAATTTTAAGCACTTTTTAAATATCTTGACCAAGGATAAAAAGCAGCACTGTTTCAGAATGTCTTGCTTTGATAGCCCTCAAAAAAGGTAGGAGGTCTGGCTAGGTACGATGAGTGAAGCTCTCGTTATGTTTAATCTTTTTGCTTTCTTAAACATAATGAAGAACTACTAGGTATTATATTGAAAGTGCTTTTTTTCTCTGCAATACTTGATTTTCTATTCTGTTACTGTATTGAAAAAGCGAACGAAATATCTATTTATTATGTGCTTTCACAATAATTTAAAAGAATGCAGAGACAGCAGTTAAGTTTCTATTTTATGTGAGAATCTAGAAGTCAAAGACATTTTACAGGGCCTCTTGCTTCTGAAAAGAAAGATGTGGTATAGAGGACACTCAGTATCTTTCAGGTCAATGTCCTGCTGGTCACCAGGTCACAGAACAGCAATTAAGTTTCTTTCAATTCCATTTTTATGAAAAGTCCTAGGGAAGATACCAAATGAAAGTAATGGACCCCGCAAGAAAACCAGGGCATTTATTAGAATAAAATAATGCATATCTGTAGAAAACAGCAAAAAAGTATTAGTTTTGCTAGGTTTCTCTTTCAAACATTTCCTGAATCCTATCACTGTAAAGTAAGATAATCACCTCTTTCCTTACACCTTATTGTTTGACAGGACGTGTTAAGCTGGTGTCCCTAGTAACTACAGTAACACCTGCTGATAAGGCCATGTGAACATCTGAATGTAGCCAACAAGCTACTCATGACTCGTTTCTTCTCTACAGATCTATATGAGAATCTTATGGATCAATTCATTTCCTTTAGTGGAGCAAAAACCAGCATGATTCACAACATCAGGCAGCTGTAACAAGCAGCTGTGATACTTACATATAATTCCTCAGAAAAGAATGAACAAAGGAACACCTTTAAAAAAATGTTAGTCTTCATTATTTTAAAGTATAAAATCCATACTCACATCATTTTTTCTGTTCAATTCTTTATGGGAAAATATGACCCAATCTGCTAGAGTAATTATGCGCTTGGTAAAAAGTACTGAGGTTCCGCTTCCCAGCCAAAATGTCTTCAGAAGAACTGTTTGTGGCATGACTTGCAGGTACTGTGAACTGGTCCCTTCAACCAAACTGTAAAAAAAGTAAAAAAAAAGTGAAAAAAAGGTAAAGCTTTATGCCACTTAGATAACTATTGTTACCAGACAGAAACCTTGTTTTCTGTAAACATACACACAGGTTTGGCAATTATTAAGCACAGAAAGATCAGACACAATTTCTGATGAATAATAAGCACAATAATGAAGACTATTAGTGTTAGATAGGAGCAATTCCAATATTGTGTTAATATTATATAACATAAAGGTCACCTTTGCTATACAAAGGCAGAGTGAAACCAAGACTTCTTTTATACTTCACAAACCAAGATAATTGTCACCCTAAGACAATAGGGAGATAACAGTTAACTGAATTTTTAAAAAATCAACCACATAAAAGCCAGTATGTTCAAAATGCTGCTTGTCTACTTTAAAGAATGAACACTGAAGCACTGCAAAGCTAAAAATACAACTTTATGAGTAAAATTAAATGCTTACTGAAAATTGTAATACAGTGAAATAACAGGCTGTGAAAAGTAGGGGCCTTAAAACATGATCAGAAAAACCCTATACAAACTACAATAAACAAACTAATAATTGAGAAATATGAAAGCAAACGATAAGCTGCCACATCTGTAGAACAGTATCTTATTACGCATATACAAAAATCAGGATACAAGCTGTTGCAGACAAAGAAATGTATGTGAAATCATGAAAAAATACTATGAAACTACTATTATACAAACCCCACCTATTTTTCAGAAACTCTACTTCGGCTTTTACTAAATCAAAGAAAAACTTCAATAATGCTTTGTGAACTCTCCTCTGTTCATCTTCCTTCTGTGAATCTGGGACTGTGTGGCAAATGGTTTCGCAATAAAGACAAGATCTGAAAAATAAACACCAAAAAACAATTTCTATCTATCAGCAATAAAGTCAGCTTTGACTTTTGACTGTTTTGACAAAGAAATACCTTGCTCCCCAGCAACATTCAGAATTTATAAGACTAATTTTCGGGGTTTAAAACTGTTTTAAAAATAAAAAGAATTAACATGCCTGTGACTGAGCTATTGTGTTCCTTTGAGTGAGCATACAATTACTAAATGTAACAGAACTTCTTTAAAATTATTTAAATGGAAGACAGTCTTCTGGTATTTTATAGACATTGTAACAACCTATAAACCTTAGTTCAGACAACAGTTCACACATTCCATTCGACAGAACTACAGATTGTCAAACATGATGGCAATAATTCTGAAGTAAAGTGTGAACTTGGTTTTTGGCTGGAATTATGAGTACTGGAACCACTGCGTACACAACTGCTGGATATTCACATTCTGCAGTAAGTATTAAAAGATAAAATATTTTATCTAAAAGACAAATTATCTTCCATTCCATGTGATATGTTCCTAATAAAAACTATTCAATGTGCAATTACAGTGATTCAAGTACAGTGATTCAATACCCTTCAAGACATGCTTACAATCAAACATGTTCATATATCTGTAATCACAGATGTATCAAAGTATTTGAAGATTACTCAAGATTTTATGATAACAGTAAGACGAGGTACGGTTTCTCTTCCAAATGAGTAGAACCATAAATTTCTATTCATGCAAATTACAAAAACTGAGTTCTCAAGATAAAGCACAGACTAACTACCCAAACAGCTCCTACCAAGTCTTGTATTTGTTGATATATAAGATATAATCAGACTTCCTCAACAAGACGGCAAAGGTTATGATTAAAATCAAAACACAACATGAAACTTCATGCTTTGTAAGATGAAAGTGGAATTTGCTTTGCAGATATAGGTATGTATGTGTGTATACAGACACACCCCATAGTAGCAACAATACATAGATTATAATCTGTGGAGAGCAAAAAAAAATTAGTAATTTTTAAAAAAGAATGCTATGAAAATACACGTATTTTCCTTTCCAAACAAAACTCAGTCTGCCTGCGAGGTAACATTTAGTGAAACACAAAGTGAGAGGTCCAGATCTGTCACAATTCTTGAATTTCACATACAGGTAACTTGTTCTGTTGAAAACACGAATCTGATGCAATAGAATGCCAACTCTTCTCCCTCGTCCCTGAGTTTGGAGTAACTAGTGCATCCAGCCCCTTATTAACCTTTCTTACCTTACAAGCATCTCTATCAAGGACCATGTACCTTTCTTACAGACAGGACACTGAAGAAGATCCAAATAATAATTTAACATAGACAAGGACTTCCAGGGAGGATCACATTGGAGAACAAGGTACAAAACATGGCAAAGTTTGGCAAATAATATTGCATCAGTATTTCCCTGTAATGAAATAAGAAAATAATATTGGCTCCATACCCACCAAAGATCCATAATCACTCAGAGCTTATTGACAACCCCAGTAACCAAATTTATCCACTGAAGGAACATGCAAATTAATGCATAACTACAAGCAGAAAAAAATCATAGGTTAAGAAAAAAAAAAAGAACTTGCTCTAGTGTGATATTCCAGCTGAATGTATCACTGTTTAGAACAACCCTTCTTCTCAACTGATCTCCATCTGTGGCCTACTAGCCTAAAACTAAACCAAACCAACAAAAAAAATCATACAGTTGCTCTTAAAGTAACAAAACATATTTGTGGCCAGCACTTCTACAATATCTAGAGCACCACATTCATGGCTTGCAAATAAGTATTAATATTTAAGTATTAAATTCTTCTTTTTAACACATTGATGAACACAGAGAAGGGTGAATACATGCATAAAAACTACTAAACACAATGGCAGAAGCAAAATAATAAATCATAATATTTCAATTCATTGTTTTAATTTTTACAATACTTCAGTCCTCATGTCTCACCAATAGGACATATTCTAGAAGAGATTGAAGAATTTGCACAGGAGGCATACGGTAGTTTTGACATGCAGCAAGTTCTGTAATCACATCAAGAAAAAATTGCTCTTCCACTAATCCTTGAAGCACATTCCACCTGCCTCTGGACAGGTCAGTCGTCTTAACCTAGAAATGAGGTATCTTTGTAAATAAGAGCTTAAATAAAAACCAAAACAAATCAACTTCATTAACAGGAAATCTGTAAGTAATATGCTGGTAAAATAATAAGCAGGAATCATAAATTAAACTAGAAAAATTACTTATTCCCCACTCCAATCGAGATTTATGTGATCTAGAAAGGTCCTCCCTCTTCCTGAACTGTGCTTTCATTGGAAAGATTAGATTTCAAAATGTGCTTCCTTTCTTAGAAGATCTGAATACATCTATACCATTTCAAAAAACAAATTACAGTTCCCGCACTCAATAATTTGCCTATACTTTATTCTGGAAAGGTATGCAATATATTATGTATTATTCTAAAGATCTTATTTCCACAAGTGCAGAGTACATCCCACAACACACAGTTGAAGCAGTAAGATAATGAGCAGCATCGAACAACAAAGAAATGTCTAAAGAAAAATGTAAACCCATTAACTACAGGTATGTATTATAAAATTATTAATGATATAACTGTTTATGTCCCTAGTTCTCCTCTTCCCATAAAGCATGTCAGAGAAGCAGCTAACACTATAGATAGCACAGGTATTGATCCCAGTGGATTTCAAAGCTCTGAAGATCTTAATGGGTTCCTTCTTATTCTCTGCCACTCAGGACAGCAAAACACTTCACTTCGCGGGCTTTCAGAGAACCCAGACAGATCCAATGGATTTCATGAGATGCTGTATCTGCTCTGCAATTTTCCTGTTACTGTCTGTACGTTCACCTTTCCAAACCTTAATTTCCACAGATTAATGATACTAATTAAGAGCTCAGCTACATTGCTACTTACATCTTTCCTCCAGTCAAGTTTCAAGCCAAAACTGATGCACAAACCAGCTGCAACAATATTGCTAACTGAAACACAGTTGCTCTCTGCCCAATAACTTCTCTTTTGAAATTCAGCTATTTTTTTTTGACCACATGGCCCGAGGCGCTGGTAAATTCAAAGAAACTGAGATAGAGAGTCACAACCAAGAGAAGCAGAGTCAGTAAGATGATTGGTTTGACTGCTGGGAATGAAATAGTTATATAAATTTATTGTTGCATTGTTCCCTGACAACTTGTAGATTTTGTGACCTCTGCCAGAAAAATCTCTTAATGTATATTAATGTATATGTACTCCACTAAAATTTCCTTTGGAAATATGTGGAAATAATTCACACTATTGTAATGCTAATAATACACAAACAGCACATCTAAAGAGCAATCATAAACTTTAATGACAGTCAAAGAACAACTTCTTTGCCTCTTGAATTTAAGACGTGTGAAGATGACTGTGTATCATGCATATACAAGGATGTTACCACTGGCCCTCATCTGATGATCACACCAGCATTCCGCTTTTTATACTGCAACTGAAACTTTTCTCTCTGATTCTGGTACCAGAAGAAACATAAATACTGATGCGTTATTTTGAAAGTACACTAAAACAAAGCTTGGTGACCTGTACTTGAATTATGGCACGCATTTCGCTTAATGGAAAGAAAAATGAGAAAGTAGCTAACTAGTGCAAAAAAAAGAAATTAAGTCAAAGTAAGTATGAAAACAGGACTGAAAAACACACAGTATTCTACTTGAAATCTGTCCTTCAGTTGACTCTGAAATCCACACGATGATGTTTCAGGCATGTGCTGAAAGAACAACTACTATTTCTTTATATGGTGGGACAACTTTAAGCTAAAACATGTCCCTACTAGCAAAAACAGGTGAGCACTGCTAAAAGTCATGTACACTTTGCCTTTATTGCTACTGCATAAATACCATGCTTGAATAATTTAAGATGCTCTAAATCACATTAGGGCAATCTTTGCTTATTTTTTTTTTAACATGAATAGGTAAAGTTCTCTCAACCAGCAGGATTAAAGGTTTTCGTTGTAGTAATTGGAAGAGTACTGAAAGTACTGCACAATCAACATTCAACAATGTTAATGCTTTACTGGAATTTTGGATAAAATAAAAATTTCAAAATGCTTCTTTGATAGCTAATTTCACAATGAAATTATGTTGGCCTAACTTCATAACAAAATTCCATATACACAACATGCCCTCTTTGTTAGAATTTTTACCTTTGGATTGCATTTGTTCAGGTGGTCTGTTCGAGCAAAGCTGTGCTTAGCAGTCTGTAAAACAGGACAAAGTCAACCTGCACACTGGATAGCAGTAAACATATTCAATAAATACTGAATAAAACTTCCCATATGCCAACCTTTGTTACATGCAGTTCAAGAACAACATTCAACATACCAACCTATTAATATTTGTCTTTTTAATACTTTAATGGTAAAACTGTGAAATAGGTGATTAGTGACTTAAAAGATATAAAATTTGGGCAATTTTTCTTCCAGTTTTTTCCTGTTATTTTGTTTGTTGTTATGTGGTTGCTACAGAAGGACAGTGTTACTAGATTAGGTATTAAAAAACACTTAAGTGTTTTCAGGTTTTCTACGGCAAAATGCAAGTTTTAGATTCCTTTTGCAAGTTACCTATAATGGCAATAGGCACAAAAATGTATTACTATTATTGCTCGACTTAGTTATTGCCAATTGTTACAATCTTACTAAAACATGTTACTAAAAAGTCTTTAGGAGAGATCCCATTTAGGATTACTATGACCTTATCTGCACATAACCACATAATAGTTTGAACAAGTGTACTTGCTGTGTGTAATATACATGGAAAGTCAACAACGAATTTCGTTTTTAGATGGCTGGGGGATATAGCCTTGATAAAATGTCACTGATAGAAGATGCAGCATTTGAAGGTGCACAGATTCAAGCAGCATGAGTCTTCTAGTTGCTAATCTTGAGTTTAAACATTATGTACCTTGAGGACTTGAAAATTCTAATTCTTTTGCTACTAAGAACTTACAGTCCTTCATGTAAACAAGCTCCTACAAAGGTACATACACACCACCACCTGCATCACTAACTTACAGAGATAATATATCCTAACTCAAGAGTAATTAGGAGTTTTTTCTAAATACTAGTGGGTTTAATTACTAATGTAGCACTTTTATCAGGATTAAATATGTGACAACATAAAACCCTGCGGTGTAATATATGACAAAAATAGTAGCAAATATTGTTCAACAAAATGTATATTAACTCTATCTTTCACTTGTAACAAAAAACATGCATATGAATCAACAAAATACTGGCTCTATGGTATGATTACTTTTACAAATGTGTAAGTCAGCTAGATAAGTCACAGACTGTCATCCAAAGACATTCTGCTGAACAATATTTGCTACTATTTAACTAATATATTACACCAAGATTTCAAGTGCTTCACCACGTCTTCTACAAACCAATGCTTACCAACTACCATCCCTAAATTATGATTTAACTAATGGTAGACGTAGTAAATATGGAATTATTAGATATTTCATGTTAAAAGGCAGCATTACTATTTCATGTGTTGAAATACTTTATTAGCTCAGTACTATAATGAAAGATTTATATTTTACATTTTATGCTAAGAAAGCATTAAATATTACTTACCACAGCAAAATACATATGCTTTATAACAGCATTTTTTATTTCAGCAAGCTGCATTTTAGACATGACTTCATCTGTTCCTTGTGCAGCCAGGAAATGGTTCATTTGGCTATCTGCAGTGTTCTGCATTTTATACTGCATAAAGCAAAAAAAAAACACAACTTTGTTTCAAAGCTAATGGTTGAATCAACTTTTATTTGCTAGGTCTTCTACAGATTGTGCTGTCAATCCTTGTATGTCTATGTATGTATACGTAATTGTTTAAGGATCTAAATCATGTGCCAGACAAAGAGTTGGTGTTTTGGAAACAGACTATTGATGCTGTAGGAAGCCATAGCATAGGAACGATCAGTACGTATTTTTCCGAACTGACTTCAATTCAGTCACAACATCTGTGGCTGAAACAAGGGTTGTGTTTCCATAATGGATTAACTCTCAGGACTTTTCAAAAACTAAAACAAAAGCCCACACATTTTCAGCTAGTCAAAAATGTAATAAGGACTTTTTAAGACATTTTTTCTTCAATTTGTCTATTCATTTTATAAAGACCACTATAATGAAATCTTTCAGTTCTTCTTTACAAAACTGAAATAAATTAGCACCTTAAAATGTTAAAGGTTTTTTTGTCTTGTTTGTTTGGGGTTGTTTTGTTTCATTTATTTGTTTAAATAACTTATTCTCTGAGATCACCTGTTGTTTTCAGCTATTTCTTCAGGACAGGAAATACAGTATTTCTCAAACTAGCTTCCAACTCATTCTGAAGAGACTCTCAGTGACACTACAAGACAATTTTTGCTAGTAAAATATAGCTACAAAATACTTAAGATTTACTACATGGATTGAGAACAATTAATTTCAGTAAGAGTTTTAATGTACACAAAGATAAATAGATTATGAATAAAACACCATCTTTGTTTTAGGTTAACACATATGTAACTGTGCTGGTTTGAGCTGAAGTAGAGTTAACTTTCTTCACAGAGGCTAGCATGGGGCTATGTTTGGGTTTTGTGCAGAACACAGAGTTGATAATGCAGAGATGTTTTTGTTATTGCTGAGCAGAGCTTACACAGAGTCAAGGCCTTTGCTGCTTTCTGTACTGCCACACTGGCAAGGAAGTTGGGGATGCATGGGAGACTGGGAGGAGATACAGCTGGGACAGGCGACCCAAACTGACCAAAGGGATATTCCATACCATATGACATCATGCTCAGTATATAAGGTGGGAGGAAGAAGGAGGTAGGGGGAACATTTGGAGTGATGGTGTTTGTCCTCCCAAGGAACTGTTACGTGTGATGGGCCCTGCTCTCCTGGAGATGGCTAAACACCTCCTGTCTTTGGGAAGCAGTGAATTAATTCCTTGTTTTGCTTTGCTTGTGTGTGCAGCTTTTGCTTTCTCTATTAAACTGTCGTTATCTCAACCCATGAGTTTCCATAGCTTTTACCCTTCTGGTTCGCTCCCCCATCCCATTGGTGGGGGTGAGTGAGTGAGTGGCTGTGTGGTTCTTGGCTGCTGGCTGGGGTTAAACCATGACAAAAACCAGCCCCCTCCTACAGGGTAGATTTAACAATGTAGATACAGGTGAAGTGTTCCCCTTGGTCACAGTACTAAAGGCCATTTTTTATTGTGAGCAGGTGTGGGAGGCTTGGTGTAGCTTACCTGCTAATTCAAACACCTAAATCTCATGGGTTAATAAAGTACGGGAAATAACAGCAGGCAAAAAAACCACAGTAGTGCATGAAATGACAAGATGGAAGCAGTTTATACTTTCAAGTTTTCAAGAGAAAGTTTCAAATGTTACATGATTTTCTCTTAAATGTATCATTCAAAACATATGTATTTGGCATGTGCGTAACTATTTCTAAATAAATATTGAGTTTGTTGCACATTTCTAAAGAGAATGAAGTATATTTGGTAAAGAAGAGTTCTAAAAAGCTTTTGATGAGCCAGGAATAATTGAACTTTAATGTATTAACTAGTCTTTACTTCTTATGGCAGTTTCTGAACATTATTTTCAACATCCTCATAAAAAAACTTACATTCAAACAAATGATAGTACGATCTTGGCAAAATTTTATGAACTCCAGCATGTATCCAACTAAGCATTTGAAGTCACTGTTTGAGTACATATGAGACTAGATCCCTAAAATCAGGCATTTTAATACCTTGAACCAATAAATTTGACACCTTGTAGAATCAAATCATCAATGACAATCCCAGACTGTTTTAACAGTAAAGTTATGAGGCGGAAACAATAAGAACAGGTACTGAAATATAAACATGAAGCAAAGACTTGGTTAATACAAAATAAAATCACAAAATAAAATCTGGATATCAGTGCAGATCCCCTGAAAAGAATAATATAATGCTATTTTGCTGAAATGAATATCTGGACACCTACATGAATGTCTAGGGAAGGGAGAGGGATATTAATATTTGCTAGAAATAGCAGTCAAATAGCATGACTACAAATTTACAAAGTTGGAATGATCTAATGAAATATGTGCCAAGTACTTCTGGCATGAACAGAAAAGAGCATGTCCATAACATTCTTTGATAAAGCCTAATACATGGAAACCTGTTATCACACATGGCAGGAATTCAGACTGCATAGCAAGAAACACCTGATTTTGATAGAGATCAATAATAGCTGATGTAGCCATAAAAACTTGATAGTCATTTATCTATTAAATGTCAATGTCTAACATGAAAGTTTTAAATGTGAACTGTTTCCATAAACAAGTCTCAGTAAGAGAGTAAGCACCAGAGTAAGAGCCTACATTGATTTGTTTTATTCAGGATGTAAACATTTAGACCTTCCAACCGTCTTCTCACCCTTTTTAAACAGCTTTACTGCTAATTAAAACATGGAGAGAAAAGTGCTTTGATCTGGAGTCCAAAGAATTTTCAAAAGGTAATAAACAGTTATAGCTCCTACTTGCTTGCAAAGGTGGTATTTTCAACTAGCCGTTGACTGAAGTCACCGCAGAGTCTGAGGATCTGCCACACTAGAAGAAAGCCTTTGAGTAGTTCCAAGTCAAAATACTAAAAAGTTCTGAACAATGCATCAGGTAAGCAAACAACTATGAATCATGGGGCATATCTCTCTCAAAGGAATACTAACAAAAAATCTAGTTGTAGTGAATTCTGCAGTAGCCCAGGACCATGTTCAGATGACACCTGGACACTCAACAGCCAATTCAGACAATGTATTGCAGTATTCTATCATTTACTGTAAAAAACCCAAGTGGTTCCTGACTTTCATGCAGAACCTCCTGTGCTTCAATTTGTGCTCATTGCATCTTGTCTTGTCCTGTCACAGGACACCACAGACAACAGCCTGGCTCTGTCCACTTTGCACTCTCCCTATTTGTATATATTCATGAGCCTTCCGGATTCATAGATTTCTGCGCAGTCCCAGAATCAGGAAGTTGTCTTACTGTTAATCAAATTACAAGAGTTCAGGCTTATCACATTCCCCTTTATTAATACTGCACTGTTTACAGTAATCAGTAAATCTATGTACTCACCTCAAAAAGGTAATATCCTAGATACTGTAAAGGGTAGTATCGAGCTTCAGAGAGACATTTTCTTCTTTGCAGAGGACAAATTTTACTACTGATGAATATATGAGTTATACTGTGCTCTGCATTTTGAGATGAACATATGGTTGCCTTTCCAGCTTCAAGAACTCTGAATAAAGATATTTGGAAAGATATATTTACTGCATTACATTAATACTGCCTATAGCTACAATAGCATTCACAAACTACAAGTATGCAAGTGCAACTGAATAAGGCTTCTAGATAGGCACAGCAAAAACTTCATTAGAAAGATAAAATAGCACTTAGTAGCCTCCAGAAAACGAAAGAACCCACTTAACAAGACGTACCTCTCTTCACAATTTAACATGAGTAATTAAAATCAATGTATACCTGCTACATATCTGATAGAAAACTTTACTTGTGCACTTTTTCAAATATCAAGTTTGGTGACAGAAGCTATAATTTACTGCACTATCTCCTCTACAATGATGAGAGTCTTTCAATTTAGCTTTCCTATAACTTAAGCCATTTACCAAAAATGGAATGCTGCTTTTCTGAACTAATATAATAATATAATACAATATTTTCATAACACAAATACACATTTAGAGCACTTGGTGCTGTCCAGTATCATATACAGAAAAGAAGTTTGTGTTTGAGACACCATTACATGTAAGAGTTGCCCTAGGGGCAATTTCCAGAGCTTTACTCTGCAAGTACTCTTATCTTTTAGAAAAGTAGCTAGTAAAAAAAAAAAAGGTGAAATAAATAAGGTCTCATGGTATTTTCATAATCTAGCTACGTAAAAAGAAAATGGTGCTGGTCTCACACACCCTTCCAATAGCTGGGCACTAAAGGCAAGATGCGCATAGAAAGGGGAATAAAGGTAGTGTTGTCAAATATTAGAGAAAAAACAGTCTTTCTCCAATGCTATAGTGGCCTTTATAACTGAAAACAGTGCTTGCTGAAGACAAAAAATATCTACCCATCCGTGCTTTCTGACTGAGTAAAAGGATCACCATGCTGGGTCTATTGTAAATAGTCTGGAAAAAAAGATTATCTTCCACATAACTGCTCGTTCACCTGTCTTGCTGTCAAAAGTTAATTCCATCGCAAACAGATAGTTGTGCAAGGCAGCACTTCAACAGCATTATCATGAAAATCTGCATAAGCAGTTTTTATGGAAAAAGCAGCATTCTTCGCAAGTGCAGCAGAACATAGTAAACTCTTCCACTCATGCAAGAAAATCGCACAATTAGAATGTTTTCAGTTGGCAAAATCCGAAGATGGTAACTTCACCTACACCTTGCTCCGTATTTACGAACTACAGACAAGCATTCTGTGATTTAGCATGCAGCATCATACTATGATCCACCAAACAAACTGCACTTCCCTCCTTGCCTGTGCGTCTGTGGCATGCCCAAACCTGAGCACTCCTAACTAACAGGGATTTCAACAGAGGAGAGCAGGACAGTATCTGAATGAATGTCAGGAGCTGTTTCTTTAACAGTGCCAGAAGTAAACATTACTTAAATATGCTCTGTTTGCAATTCCATGCAGTATTTAAACCAATGAATCCCAGTGTGTAGGAAGAGTATAGAAAAGAATATGCAGTCCCAGAATTCTTGCACATCAATTGCTTTCCTTCCCTTTACTTTTCCTCAACACTTTTGTCCATCTCTTCCGAACTATCTGCATTTATAATGTATCAGAACATCAGTAGCACGAATTAGATCATAAAAACTACAATAAGCTATCACATAGATGTGACAATGCTCTAGGTCACAATGTAGGGTGTAACCAACAGTATGTATTCTATTATCATATTCACAAGCTGTTAAAGCAGGTGGGGAAGTGATTGTTATCTCCTACTTAACCCTCATGGCTCCCTTAGGGGCTGTCTCTGTTCAGTGGGCTCTCAGGGACCCATGGCATGACCCATAGAATTACACTGTTCCATTGTGAGATGCTTCACCCCAAGGGGGGGAGCCAAGCATTCCCACAGGGATATAAGCTGGGGTTTGGACAAGCACAGAGAGCCCTTACATACTGGATTCCCAGAGGACAAGAGCTACCACTTCTTCAGGTGAAGACCAGATCTACAGGATCACTGCTCCAACAGACCCATTGCTCCAGGACTGCAGCCACCATTTAATGGGACTACTACCAACACCCTGACTGACAGGGTGTCAGGTTGCTTTCTGACTCTGTCAGTGGTTTCTTTTTGTACTGTTGCATTTATTGTTTTGTTTTTCCTATTAAATTGTACTTCTGACTTGGAGTCTCTCACTGGTTTGCTTTCAAACCAGCACAGACAAAAAGACCAATCAGGTCAGTAGCAGTGCGGCCCAGATCCGTAAGGCACAGTCCGTCGCTTGCTCAGGTCACCCACCCAAGTGAAATAAGGTATCCTGTTTCAGCTACTATTTGCATATAACACCCACACATAATAAACAATTACTCATGTAAAAAAAACCTAAGTCTACATATCTTGCCTCATGAAGAAAGATTTATCAGCTTATTTGATAAAAACATATGCAAATTCATGTTATTTTTGACCCTATACGAAAAGAAAACAAGAAAACCAGTGACATTACAGATTTAAAATCCTTCTAAAAATATGGAAGCATATTATTGAAAATAATCCAGAGTTTGAAGATATGGAGGTTGTTATGGACCAAATTAACTGGGATGGAAGAAGAAAAACGCATTCAACCATGCAATAAGTGCTCCATTGCTCATCATTTAAGCTTTAAGACATACTCCTACCTTCTAATAGATGCCATTAGTTTATCACCTTCCTTAACAGGAAGGATAACTTTCCATTTGTGGAAGGCCCCTGGAGCATTAGAACGTTTCAGTTCTTCGCGCCATCTTTTAGGTGCGGATTGCATTTGAGGTGAATAACAAGTATCTTCTTCAATTTTGTATCCCCATTCGTACATTGTTTCATCAAGCCATCTGCCACTTTCAGCACTGTTAATTATGAACTCCTCAGTTAGTACCCACTTTCCTGAAAAGCAAATGAATGGTCAACCACAGAAGTTTTCCCTGCAGACAAATGGCAATCAACTGAAAAACTAACATAAAAGTAACTTTAACTTTTCTTGTTCAAACAAAAGCTGGAATTACAAGTACTATTTTAAAAACTTTTTCCTACTACAGAGTTCTCCACCTCAGGCTTTAGAATTAAAATCTCACAATGCCACTGAAAATGATAGCTTTGTTTTCTTTTAATTTCCAAAAATCTCCAAATACATTTTTTCAGCTTCCCAGATTTTGTTATGACTTCCACAGAACCTTGATAATCCGGTAATTATTAACACTCTTTGACTGTTATGTAAATGTACTAAAACGTAGCAAAATTAAATATTCTATCACCAATGAGCTAAAAGAACTAAACTTTTAGCACATAAGCTTTTTCTCTTACATATTCTTAATATTACCAGCACTCCTAGTGTAGTGAATATCAATATTCAGGGGACACAGTTTTAGACCTTTTTCATTCCCCTTTCTTCTTTTCACATCTTCTCTCATCCCTTGGCTCCACCTCCTCCACCTCTCCTCTTTCATCTTCCGCATGTATGCTTTTGATACCGTATGTAATGATCTTCCCCTTTTCCCTGTCTTTCTTGCAGGTTCAGGTCAAGAGCAGTGGTTAGTACCTTGCTCCTTCATTGCAATGCTATCTACAGAATATACTGTAAGAGAAATTGACTTGAATTGTGTCAACCTAATTGGTTTCACAGAACAGCAGGGTTGGCTGGCAAAATGTCTCAGTGCAGGAGCACAGATGGTACTTCTACAAGACCTAGCAGAGGTACCAGTAGACTTAGGACTGGAAAAGGTATGCTGTGCACAACCTGTATGTTAAAACCCCTTACATTCAAAGTTTGCATCTCAAAACCTCTGCCAGCTAGGAAGTGCATGACAACTGGCAACCTCGTTAGTATTTCTGTCCAACTCTATGGAGCTCTAAGTGGGTTTAGACATGAGCTTTTTTACTTACTTAGATAAACATGCAGTAGGAATGAACACGTTGTCCCTGCTATCAAGTCTAAGAGCAATGATTATGCAAAAATAGCACCTCTTCAGGATTAGAAAGGACTAGATGGTATTGGGGAAGATTTGCAAGCATAGAAACATTAACATGTAGTGCCCGCATTGGCATGTGGACGCTACATGTACCATTTCCACACCACTCAAAAAAAATCTTCCAATGTTTTAAATTTCAAAAAGTAAGAAAACATTAACTCAGAGGTTTAGGATGGTTAAAATGAAGTGCTATGCCACAAATCTATAGCAACTTAATATTTGCGTATCGGATCACGGAAACTTCGGTCTATTTCCTTTTTGATAAGAGTTCAATGAAAATTTTACATTACTACAAAGAATCATTCATGTATTTGTATAAATACATACATATACACCCCCCTACATTCTAGCAGCGATAGACGATTGAAAATACCTACTAATATGGTATGTAAATACAAGTATGAAATCAAGAAATTTACATATATCTTTAAACACAAACATGTTTAGTTATTTCTGTCTATTATCCCTTAATTTAAGAATATACCTCTTAATAATGCTTTAACACTGCGTTATAAAACAATACAGGGAAAGTAAAGCTACATTTAAAACCAGAATGGTGGTATCTCATAACTATGATATATTCTAAAGTCCTCATATCATTTTCACAGGTAATCAGTCTCTAAAGAAATCTTAAAATACAGAATTCCCAGTCTAAAATCATTTTATAAAATAAAATTATTTTATTAATTGCTTACGTATGAGACTTCAGCATCAGGCCTTATTTAAAAGAAAAGGCTTGACCAGAGGCTTGTGTCAGAAAGGTAAAAGCCTAGAATCTTCTCTTGCTGCATAAACAGGAACTTACAGTGACCATTACCAGTGAATGCTGCATATGAATTTGTGTCAAAAATCCATGCTGACTACAGGTGTCCATATTCCCTCTGTCCTCTCTTAAGGGATCCATTTTTAAGCATCCATGTAATTTGTATATGACTTCACGACCTAACTTATACATAACAAAGCTTTCTGCCTGGGAATAGACACTGATCCAACAAAGGGAAATAGCAGAAATATAATTTAAGAAAAAATTCAAAAAATAAAGAAGTAAATCATAAATTCACCACAATACTATGTTAAAAATCAAGGTTGTTGAAACAAGAGAATGAGGGTTTGTAAGACTGTTCACAAAATGAAAAGGGGCAACTAGAAACTGTTTATAGATACTTCCTAGACTTGTGCTGTGATCCCATGAAATTTAACACCAAACCCTTTACTCACCAGCAGCACAGGCAGCTAAGACTTTTTCACTGTTGCACAGCTTTTTTGCTACAAGATGTGTACAATTTCGGTATTTCTAACAAAAGAAAAACAAAACACACTTTTATCACTGGAAACAGTTTCAATTCCTCACCTATTTATACACAACTGAACTACGACACAGTCCTTTCAGTTAAGGCTCACATTTTTACCTTCTGCTCTAAACTTCTCTACTGTACTTTAGTAAACAATACCTTGCTATCTATAAAGTCACAGTCCAGTTTGAACAGCAATTTGAGCAGTGCCACTTTCTCTTGCTTTTTAAATCCACTTATTTGGACTATCCGTTTCTGGACATCACTTGCCATCTGCTGAAAGAAAAGAAAAGAACAAAAAGGAAACATTAACACAAAAAAATGGGTGAAACGCGGCTTGCAGCATCTGACTAGTACTTCCTACTTTTTTTCTGATAAAATGGGAAAACACAGCCAGACGAGACGAACGCTGATCGAGGCAGCACACCACGCGTTAAGCTCTCGGTGCCCGCCGCGGCAAAGGCGCCGGACACGCGGGAACGGGGTAGGCCCTGGGGGCGCAGGCTGCATCCCGCAGCGGGACGAG